ACACACACACACACACACACACACACACACACACACACACACACACACACACACACACACACACACACACACACACACACACACACACACACACACACACACACACACACAGCCACATGGACACCATCACGGGAATAGTCAGGGAAGCTTCCTGTGACCTTAAAACGTTGAGATCTGATCAAAACTCGATTTTTGCAAAACCGGGTAAAACCAATAACTTCCCGATTTTTGAAAATTTTCAATTTTCTTAGCGGGAAGTTAAAAATTTTTAAAATATTTTCACTCGTAATTTTTTTAAATTTCTAAATATGGAATTTTTTTAATAAAATTTTTTCACAATAATTTAATTGTTATAAAAATCGAAAAACTTGACAGATGTCTGTTAATTTCGGTATGATTTGTAGGGATTGGTGGAGTTCGCGGGTTTCACAACTCAATTACCAATACCTAAATTGTCTAAATATTATATATTTATTCAGTATAAACTTAAACTATTAAAATTGTTGTATTAAATAAATAATTAATTATCAGTAAATAATTGTTTCTGAGCGGGCTACAGCTGTAGCGTGTGTTCAGAATATATGTCGTCGTTGTAATCTGGTCTGGCGGTTAGAATCTGCTTCCGCGGTCTCCGTTGTTGCACGATGTCGCCACTACCTTGAGCACTGACGTGCCCCCTCGCGGTTATGTCAGGTACTGGCGCGGGTGCCACAGGTACTCCCCCTCCAGTGTCTTTGACGTTTGAGGAAAATGACACTCTTTTTTTCGTACCTGCTGATGATTGTTTATTTTCCTGTGTCACTTCGTCATTGGAATGGTGTGCAGGCTTTAGTCGTTCGATATTAATATTCTTGTGGTCACCGTTGACATTTATTTTGTAAACTTTCTCGTTGATTCTGTCAATCACCTCGTATGGTCCACTGTAAGGTGGTTCCAATGGTGCTTTTACGTGATCAGTTCTAACAAATACATGTGATGCATTTTGTATGTTTTTCAGGCGAAATAGCCGTGGTTTGTTGTGATGCGACGTTGGTGTTGGGCGTAATTCTCTCATCAGCTCCCTGTGTCTCTCGACAAACACTTGAGGGTTTGCATTTGCATCTTGATGAACAAAAAACTCTCCTGGTACTCGCAGAGTCGTCCCATAGAGCATTTCAGCTGGTGAAGCCTTTAGGTCTTCTTTGTAACTGGTTCTGAGTCCGAGCATGACCGTGGGTAAACTCTGTCCATGGTGTTTCAGGTTTGCACATTAATGCAGCTTTCAATGTTCGGTGCCATCTTTCAGTGATACCGTTTGATGCTGGATGATAAGCCGTTGTTCTCACTTTTGTGGCTCCGGTGAACCTAGCAAGTGCTTTAAATAGACCAGACTCAAATTGAGTTCCCTGGTCTGTTGTAATTGTCAACGGTATGCCGTAGTGTGATATCCAGTTACTTAGGAGTGCTTTTGCTACTGTTTCCGCAGTCATGTCTTTCATGGGAACTGCAACTGGCCAGCGTGAAAATCTGTCCATTATTGTTAGACAATAACGGTATCCTTCTACTTCGGGGAGGACGATGATGTCAATATTTATGTGATTAAATCTTGAGTCCGGGACTTCAATGCTCGTGTGTGGTAGTCTGTTGTGACGTTAAACTTTTGCTTTTTGGCATTCAGTACAATCTCTGGACGATCTTAGTGCGTCTTTTTTGATGCCGGGCCAGATGTATTTTTCTTTTATCAATTTGCTGGTGTTTCTGCCGCTTGGATGTGATAATCCATGTATTACATCATATGCGACTTTCCTTAAATCAGTTGGTAAGTACGGTCTCACTACTCCTGTGGATATATCGCAGTACACCGGAATGTTGGGTTCAATGTTCAGTCGATGCATGTTTAATGATTTATTTGATCTGATTATGTCTTGAAGTTCCTCGTCCGCTTCTTGGCTCGTTTTAATGGTCTCAGCATCAAGACGAGTGGGCATGTTAATCACATTTACACGAGAAAGAGCGTCGGCCACCACATTTTCTTCACCCTTCACATATCGAATGTCTGTTGTGAACTGGGAGATATAACAGAGTTGACGAGCTTGTCTCGGTGAAGCTTTTTGTGGTTTTTGTCGAAAGGCATACGTAAGAGGTTTGTGATCGGTCTTGATCGTGAATGTACGACTTTCCAGGATATCTTGAAAATATTTTATCGCTGCGTAGATCGCCAGCAGCTCGCGATCGTAAGTGCTGTATCTGGTTTCTGTGTCACTCAATTTTCTTGAGAAAAATCCTGCCGGTGTCCAGCTGCCATCCACGAACTGCTCCAGTGCTGCTCCTATTCCTGTGTCCGATGCATCCGTAATCAGAGCGAGTGGTGTTGTGTTTGATATAAACTTGGTGAGTGCAATAGACGCTATGCTGTCTTTGCATTTCTCAAATGCTTCCTCAGCTTCTGGGGTCCATTGGATGATGCGACGGTCATTTTTCTTAGAGTCTTTCAAGTAGTTATTTAATGGTATCTGTATTTGTGCTGCATGTGGTACCAAACGGCGATAGTAGTTGATTGAGCCTAGAAAGGTTCTCAATTCTCTAATCGTCTTTGGTTTTGTAAAATTTTTTAATGCTTCTACACGTTCATTTGGGGGTTTATAACCGTCCTTGTTGATCGTGTATCCAAGGTATGTCACTTCTTCTTGCCGAATCGTGCATTTACTGGGGTTTATGACATAACCATGTTTTCGCAGTCGCTCAAACCGGATTATTGTGTGTTGTAAGTGTTCTTCATGGTTCTTTGACTTTACAATTATATCGTCAACGAATGCTTCAGCGAAATCCAGGTCTCTGAGTGCATCATCGATATTGCGTTGGAAAGTCTGACCGGCGTTACGAATTCCATATGGCGAGTGGAGGTGTTCTTATGTACCAAACGGTGTAATTATCACTGTCTTTTCTATGTCCTCCTCAGCCATTGGAGTTTGGGCATACACTCTATCCAGATCGTACACAGATAGAACTGTTGTCCCTGGCGGTAGCTGGATTACGTTTTGTATTGCCGGTGGTGAGTAACTGTCTGGAATTGTTTGAGCATTTAATTTGCGGTAGTCACCACACAATCTCCACTCACCTGATTTCTTTTTTCGAAGTAAAATTGGGCTCGCCCATGGACTTTTTGATGGACGTATGACTCCTTCTTTCAGCATTCTGTTGATTTCTTTTTTGGCAGCTTCCAATTTCTCTCCTGCTAACTTCCGAGGGCGTTCCCTCACCGGTTGTCCCGTTGTTAGTATGTGATGCTCGATTTTCGGATCAATATCTTTTCGTGATCTCGTTCTCGGCTTCGTAATGTCAATAAATTCCTCTAGGAGGTCTTTATATTGCTGTGCATATTTGTTTTGCGGTAATTGACTAGTACTGAGGGTAGAGATTCCGTATTCAGCTGCCTGTTTGAGCTTTCCAGGTATTTCGAGAGATGTCTTTGAATCTATCAGTCTTCTTCTTTTGAGATCAATCACCAATCCGTAGTGAGCGATCAGATCAGCTCCTATGATTGGGGATTTTACGTCGGCTATAATGAAATTCCAATCAATTTCTCGTCGAAGTCCTAAATTCAGTGTGATGAGGTGTTTACCATATGTATTTATTACTGTTGAATTTGCTGCATATAGTTTGTGTGATGTTTGATTTAATTTATGCTTGATAGATGACCGAGGTATAACAGATACGACGGATCATGAGTCTATCAAGAATCTTTGATGAGTAGCTTTATCGTATACATGGAGGCGTAGTTCACGATTTCTGTCACTGTCGCTTTCAGCCTCCGTAGACGACAGTGTTTTTAGTTTTCCGGTGTGTGGTTTGGGTTTTTTGTACACCATGGTCCCTGGCATTTGTACGCAGCCTCACCGAACTTGTGATGATACTACTATCATCACAAGTAGTAGCATGTACCATCTGCGGAGCGAAATCGCGGTCTTGATCTCGAGCGTGATCTGTTTTCTTGGAATGTTGCTTTGTTTGTTCCACGTAATTGTCTGACACTCTTCTGTAGCTCAAGTATCATGTTTTCCAATTTATCTAATCTGTCGTCACTCTGCTTCGCTGGTGGATTTTTAATTGAATGTACTTCTTGTGAGTTTGTAGTCTCAACTTCCATCACGTTACCGTTTGAGTTTTCCATTAACTTATCAGCTATGTCAGCTTGTTGATTTAAGTCCACGTTTTGTGCTACCAGGAGTACGTTTGTAACATGTGATGGTAGTAAACTCATCCATTTTGTCTTTAATAGATTGTCGGTAGCTTGATTTCTACCTAGATCACGCATCTGTCGTAGTAGTTGAGATGGTTTTTTGTCACCTAGTTCCACTTCAGACAAAAGTCGGTGTAGCTGACGTTCAGATGATTCCGAGAAACGTTTTATCATTGTGTCTTTTAATAATTTGTATGATTCGTCGTTCACTGGTTGCTCGATGATGTCGGAAATCTCTTCTACCGCGTATTGTTCTAGAATTTCTACCACAGCGTCATATTTGGATCTCTCGCTACGAATGTTTCGTTTGCGGAATATTGTTTCGATTTGTGTAAACCATAACTGGGGTTTGTTTTTCCAGAAAGGAGGTAATTTGTAGCTAGTTATAGTTGCTAACTGTAATTGATTAGTACCTTGTGGATTTTGGTTATTATCCTGACCTTCATCGTTGTTTAGAGGATTGGCTGGAGGCTCATCTTGATTCTGGATTGGGTTAGCGGGTGGGTTTTGCTGTATCTGAATTTGATTGTTGTTTTCTCTCAACCGTGCCATTTCCTCCTGCAATGCCGTGAACTGCCTCTGCAACACTGTCATTTTCTCCTCTTCGTTATCACTCATTTTTATTTTTTCTTATTTATTTTTTCTTATTTATTTGTTATTATTTTTTTGTAATAGCTTAGTCGAGGGTCACCACTGTAGGGATTGGTGGAGTTCGCGGGTTTCACAACTCAATTACCAATACCTAAATTGTCTAAATATTATATATTTATTCAGTATAAACTTTAACTATTAAAATTGTTGTATTAAATAAATAATTAATTATCAGTAAATAATTGTTTCTGAGCCGGGCTACAGCTGTAGCGTGTGTTCAGAATATATGTCGTCGTTGTAATCTGGTCTGGCGGTTAGAATCTGCTTCCGCGGTCTCCGTTGTTGCACGATGTCGCCACTACCTTGAGCACTGACGTGCCCCCTCGCGGTTATGTCAGGTACTGGCGCGGGTGCCACAGATTTATTTACAGTATATTTTCAATATATTTTAAATAAGATTTATTTTAAATATATTTAATATTTCAACCTACCTTACAATCTTCTACATTATTTGACATTTTTTAGCATTGATATAATTCTATGTGAATTTTAAGGTTAGGTTGAGATAGTTGTTAACGTACTGTTTTTGTGCACTACGCAGTTGATCTCGCAGACCTGCGCATAAGAGACGTAAGTAGTGCAATAGTGGGGACGTCTGGACGAGTCAAATATAGAAGAAGATCTGTTGCGTCCGAGTGACGATAACACAATTAATTAATCAGTTCCTTAAATTTGAGACTAATCACCGAAGATTATATGTTTCGGGAGGCGGGAACCGCGCCTATAGGTAACTGCACGCCGGATTCGACGCGACACAAAAAATAACGAAACTAGAGTAATTTTGGGGAATTTCGACTCAATTGTCGTATTCTCCTTGGGGTAGGTCAGGGCACGAGCGAATAAAATGACAAACGAGGTTAGAATAAAATCAACGCAGAAAGAGGAACACTTATACCTGCTTGAAGGTCGAACCTGTGTGTCGTTGGGCCCTTATCCGGGTACCTGAACGTCGAATATACTAGGGTCGCTGACTGATGGGTAATGACTGGCGACTAATTAACTGAATGGTTGAAATAATTAATTAGGGTTATTATCAGGGTCAGGGGTTTCGTATGGAGGGGGAAATACAAATACATATAAAAAGTTTGGAAAATCCAAAAGTGCACGACTCATAATGCTCATTTAATTATAAAATATTAAAAAAAAAAAAAAAAAAAACGTCGTTCAAAATTAGTTGCCGAAAAAACAGCTATACTAGGAAGGTACTACGCAAGCGCCTCTGGTGGAATAAATGTACACAATATCTATAGATATATCACCATCCATGTTATTTTACATGGATATATATATATATATATATCACATCGTTTTTTATCAATTGTAATTAAACGACACTGAATTAATTTGCCATTCGCATTCGATGACCTACAATTGCCGATTAGAATTTTAAAAAAAAAAATTTAACTCAAATAATTGATTTTTTCACAAGTTACAGTGTTTCCGGAGTTTCATACATGACGGACAGGAAAATTTTTTGACCTATTTTGATATTTTTTTCCGTTTCTATTGCACTAAATTATTTTTTAGCAAGTATAGAATTAATCTCCATTAAATTATCTCGACAATAGTATGCAAAATATCTTGATTCCGTGAACTAACAAGGCTATAATAGTAAAAATAGTTGCCAAAATGGGGCGAAAAAAATTTTTCGATCGTAAAGCACTCTCTGATGCTTCGCATCATGAGTCGTGCGAAAAAAAAAAGAGTAAATATGTGTGAATTAAAATATTGAGATATTGGCGATGTTCAGGTTTAGTAGCGGCCAAGTTCAGAACTGTCAAATTGAAAGAAAAAAGTACTTAACCTGACAAGCAATAAATTTATGTTTATTGCAATGCAATAAGAATGTATTTAAATGTACATATCAGTTGCTTGTGTGTACGTGTGTGAGTATATGTTTGTGGGTAAGAATATGTAAATCAACCTCAAGAAATCCACAATGTGATTTTAAAAATTCATAAATAATTTTTTGAACTCTAGAGTAGTTCATCGGATCTTCAAAGATTTTTAAAAATAAAATGAAAATTTTTTCTAGGTTTTTTAGGATATTTAATATTTACAAATTAAAATGAAGTGTACAATTTGAAAAATGCTTGCGAAAATTGTAAGAATTATGAGCGCATTTTTTTAAAAATTTATTTTTTAAATACATTTTGTTCCGTATTTTTTCAAATATCTTCCTCAGTATTTAGCTAAATATCTTGATCGGTGCCTTGTAAAATGTCTCGGTAGGTATTTTACTAAAATTCAATACAAATTTCAGGTCAAATTTTAAAACAAATTTTAAGACAAACTTCAAGATAAATTTCAAGACAGAATTAGAGACAATTTTCAAGAGAAAATTATCTGACTTGCCACAGTAAGACTCGCGCGGTCTATGTTAGGACGCGAGAAATAAATACACTACTGACAAAAATTAAGGGAATAAAAAAAAAATGTGAATTTTTTTTAGATTTTTGACGGGCTGTATTTCAGCGGAAAATGATCGTATCACAAAAAAAAATGCATTTGAAAGCTCTGAGACTCTAGTTTGCAGATCTTGAGCCTGGGAAAAAAATATTATATATAATTTTATATAATTATTTATAAATCATTATATATAATTATGTATGAGTTTTGACCATATATAATTATATAAAATTATATATAACTATATAAAATTATATATAATTATATAAAATTATATAAAAAAATTTAATATTTTTTTTTTAATTATATAAAAAAATTATTTTTAATTTTTAAATTAAAAATAAGTAGGAATTGGGGCTCACAGAATATTTGCGATCAAATATCTGATGAAAAATTCTGACGGTCGACGGGATTTGAACTCGGGTCCTTCTAGTTGCCAGTCCTGCGCGCTACCACTGATCCGGATGACTCGATACAGCTAAAGGATATTATTTGTTTTATTTGAATTGAAACCTACGATAGGCTGGGTTTTTATGAAAATTCCATAAAATTCTTCAATATTTCATGGAGCATCACGGAAGTAGTAGTTTTAATTTTTGATTTTTGATTTTATCTGTTATTTATGGTTAACCTTTATTTTTTATTGTAATTATTCCCTAGTGAAAAAAATTATATATAATTTTATATGATTATATATAAATCATCCTATTTAAGAAGTGAGCTGTTAAAATTTCAAGGTGATCCGAATATTTTCTCAAGAGTTAAATCATTTCTTTATAAAACTAAACTGAAATTTGAATTGTTTATAATGTTTGTGCTATTGGTCAGACGTGGATGTTTTAAAATAGATGAAAGTCTTTGAAGTTCGCCGTTAGTCAAAACTTACAAATAAATAGCTATGATTCCTGATGATTGGTCAAACGGGAAACTTTATTCACTTAGTATTGTTCAAGCCTAAAAATGTCGACATGCCCCCCCGGGAAAAAATGATCAGGACTGATCAGACCTGTTCATATCTGATCAGACCTGAAATCCGACCTGATCAGGCCTGTTCATGTATGATCAGGCCTGTTCATGTATGATCAGGCCTATTCATGTATGATCAGACCTGTCCATGTCTGTTCATGCCTGTTCATGTCTGAAGCATCAAATACGCTCAGACCTGATCAGATCTGATCAAGCCAGTTCATGTCTGAAGCGTTAAATACGCTCAGACCTGATCAGACCTGATCAAGCCTGTTCATGCCTGCTCATGCCTGTTCATGTCTGAAGCATCAAATAC